ATTACGCCAAAATGCGGTCAGATCCCGAATAAGACCCAAATGTTAGAGCTGTAAAAAACATCTTTAATGATCTTTCAAAGATCTTTTTATATTATTTTTGGAAGATCTTTCGAAGACAAATTTTTATCTTCCAAAGATCTTTCGCATTATATTTGAAAGATTTTCCGAAGACAAATTTTCAGCTTCCGAATAATCTTTCTGCGACACAGAAAAGATCTTGCAAATAATCTTTCGAAATATCTTCCAAAAGATTTTCCGAAGATCTTCCAAAGACGGAATTTTTTTTACCCGGGTAGAAATTTTTCTGACTTTGGAAGAGCTTCCAAAAGATTCTCTGGGAAATTCTTTAAAAGATTATCTCGAAGATCTTTTTGGCGTCGCTAAAAGATTCTGCGGGAGATAGAATCTTGCAGAGACAATGTTAAAATATCTGCAGAGAATGCTTCCGAAGATCTTCGAAAGACGACTTCTATTCTAGATGATCTTGCAGAGATAATGTTGAAATATCTTCGGGAGACGACATCTTTTTCTCGAAAATCTTCCAGAGAATATTTTCAAAGATCTTCGAAAGACGACTTCTGTTCTAGATGATCTTCCAGAGACAATAGTGGAAAATCTTCGCAAGACAAATTTTTCGGTAGCGAATTTTGCAGATGAAAAATTGTTGGATCCTCCGAAGGTGAGCCTTTTTGTTTTTAGCAGATCGTTCGATAAATTGTTTTCGTCGTTGTAATTGTCCCACTTCCAAATTTTGTCCTGCTTGAAGATTTTGAAAAACAGGGCGTCCCCATATAGCGGGGGTTTCCATATAGGAGGGGTTCCCATATAAGGGGGTCTTCGTATAATGGGGTCCCCATGTGAGGGGGGTCCCCATTTAAGGGGGGTCCCCACCCGGGTAGAAAAAAAACCGTCTTCTCAAGATTTTTCGGAAGATCTTCTGGGTAAATCTTCCGAAAGTTTTTGGGAGATCTTTTTGGTTACATGAAAAGATCTTCTAAAGATGAAAATTCATCTTCAGGAGATTTTTTTTTTTCAAGAAAAAATTCATGGGAAATGAAGAAAGATCTTCGGGAGATGAAATTTTGTTTCCAGAATGTCTTTCAGATACAATCCACCGATATCTTTGGGAGACAAAATTTTGTCTCCTGAATATTTTTCACAGGCAACCCAGAAAAATATTCGGGAGATGAAAATTTTCATGGGAAATGTCTCCCAGAGATGGCCTGGATTACTATTTTCGAATGGAATTGTTTGTTCCCACTTTCTGACCCTTATTTTCCCTCTTATTGTGACCTTCATTCCTTTATACCTTTTTGCGATACCTGCCTAAAAAGTGCACTTTTCGAAACGGTTTAGTGTGCGTAAAGCGGTTATTTTCCGCACTCGAAATTCACTTTACGCACGCTCATGAGCTTTACGCACACCGTGCACAAAAACAACCGCTTTGCTCCCACTACCGTGCCGAACAGTGCACTCGGCAGGTATCACAGAAAACAGCATGTGTTATGCGTGCGTGTGAAAAAGTGCTTCTTTACGCACTAGTAACACAATAGTACATTAGAGTACAAGGGCACAAATTTCGTTTTCAACGAATGTGTAGTTTACAGGCCGAGCCGAAGGCGAGATCTGTGCACACATTCGTTGAAAACGAAATTTGTGCCCTTGTACTCTAATGTACTATTATACTTTGATTCTTGTAATTATTTTTGGGCCTTATGTATTTTGCGCCTGATGCTTGGAACGCTCCATTTTAAGCCTCACTGGCTTTGGGGCCGGTACTTGAAGCTCTTAATATCTTTCCAAGCGCCAGGCCCGAAACATGCAATTTGTGGTCTCATAACTTTTGGTCCTAGCCTAGAATAATTTTATAAGCCTATTGAGTTTTTCGCCAGACTCATCGAGCACTATATAAGTCTCATTCAGTTTAGGGTTTATCCATGGTGCACTTTCTCGTCCTTATAGAGTTGAGGCCTGGACCACAAAACATCTCATTTTGCGACTCCTGTTGTTTGGGCACAGCATTTGGAACGTGCCTTTTCTGGCCTGATCGAAATGGATCATGTAACAAGCAGATATAACGGCTCGGTAAACTATTAAAGTAAAAAACCCACGACTCTGGCTGTATCCTTTCAGATATACTCGTGGCCAAAATCGGAGTTTAATAGGGAGATATTGCTTCTATCTTGACCTATATTTAGGGAACGGAACATATACATCGAAAACGTTATGTTTCCTTTAGGGAAAAATGTACAAAAAAATCAGTAGGCAAGGTGGGAAAGTGCAAAGACAGATTTCCCGCATAACAAATCTTTCAGTTGCCTAGTGACAAAAAACTCTAATAAAGCTATTGACATAAGCTTCGTAAATAGTTTCAATGAGTAAATGGTTAACAGTGAGGAAGGAAAAGGACATGCAGTTTGTTCTCTACTCTAGATAGTTCATTTACTCGTCCACGACTCGTATAAGCCTCGTCGTGCGCTTACGGGCTGTGCACGGCTCGCTTCGGAGTGAAAGAACGATCCAGACTCAAGAATGGTCTTTCAGACTTAAAAAAGTCAAAATCGAATTCTATGTTCATAATGGATGGTAAAAAGAAACAGAAACAGACCCCACTAATGTGCCATATGGGTGTTGCCATAACACATAACTGCAATTTCTCTTCGGTAACCTCGCAGCCACAGCTAATGCTGGACGCCTTCTCATTATTAGTTTCCCGACCCTGAAAATCGAATGTGGGAAATTAAGCATTTCTCCATTTAAAAAAATTTGACATCTCATTTAGAAGTGTTCTATCTCTGGGTTATAATGACAGCAGTAGGCCAACTTTTGATGAACCAGTCCAGCTTTTGAGGACCCAGTCCAGTACAAGTACGACGGGTGTTACGATTGTTACGAATATAAAGTTGATGGCCCGAAACTTTTCGGTTATGAGTAAACGAAGAGACACATTTTGGCACAAGGTGAACGAAGCAGCCGTGACAAAATAGTACATTATCGCAGTGTGATATAAAATATTTCATGTCCCAAGGACCAAAAACCGCAATTTAACCGAGCAAAGTGAGATTACAATCGCAGCTCGTACGGTCCTTTAGGACTTAAAATATGTTTGTGCATGAAGGCAAGAATATTATATCTGATATTCAATTTTATAAGAATTGGTAATTGCTTCTAACGAAATACTGAAACCCTTGGAACGAATAACAAAAGTGACGGATGCTGCCATAAAATTCTATCATTCAATGCTCATAAATATTAAAATTATATTGAAGAATGATAAGCATTCATTTTCCACATACTTGCTATCCTTTTGATAGTAATCTGCCTGATGTTCAGAATTGCTTCAATTATTATTCATTTATCGTGACAATTTGTGTGAAGAAAACGTTCATAAATTTTGAGCAATTTATTATGATCACACTTTGCATAGAACACGCAATGAACAAGAAACTGAAAAACAAAAATAACAAATTCATTCCAAAAAATGGGAGCTTATATTGTTGAAGTTCTCTCCCCCCTCGCTGCGGTGCCATGGACCCGATATTAATCCAACTATTTTCCAACTGCATCTCGATGACTGAGGAAAACCATAAAAAATCTCAGCCGATCATTCTCGGAATTGCCCTCATGTAAGTTCGTGCTGAAATCCATAATATTTCCTCAAAATTAGAGAATGTTACGAGTGATAAACGTATGTGTAACCTAGAAGTATATTGCCGAAGGAAGAATCACATTTGGGAAATGAATGTGAGGATGACGTTGTCTGAAATACAGAAAAAACACTACGTGTCGTTGCACCCCTGCAAAGGGTGATTGCAATATCACGAGTCAGAGAAGTTGTTTTCGGTCGAGTGACGAACGTAATTTTTTTCACACTGTCTGTAAACGGCGTTTGACGGACACGAAGTGCGTGTAGAACGACGTTTTACAGACAGTGTGATGAAAACAACTTTTCTGACTCGTGTGATTACATTTCTCGGCTTCGTACTTCAAAATTTCCCCTTCAAAATGGTTGCCACTTCAAAGTTTTCTCACTTCAAAGTTTTCCACTTCAAATTTTCTCCCCACTTCAAATTTTTCCCCACTTCAAAGTTTTCCCATTTCAAATTTTTTCCCACTTCAAATTTTTCCCCAGTTCCAAGCTCCCCCACTTCGAAGTTGCCCCACTTCAAATTTTCCCCAATTCGAAGTTTCTCCACTTCAAATTTTTCCCACTGCGAAGTTTTCCCACTTCAAATTTCTCGCTGCGAAGTTTCCCCACTTCAAATTTTCCCCACTTCAAACTTTTCCAACTTCAAGCTTTTCTCACTTCAAACTTTTCCCACTTCAAATTTCTCGCTGCGAAGTTTCCCCACTTCAAATTTTCCCCACTTCAAACTTTTCCAACTTCAAGCTTTTCTCACTTCAAACTTTTCCCACTTCAAATTTTTTTCTCACTTCAAATTTTTTCCCACTCCAACATTTCTTACTTCAACATTCCTAACTATTTGGTCACAGGACCGAAAAAACTTTTCTGACGAGTGTGAGGGTGGCATGCCTCGCCTTCGCCTCAGTCTGCAATCCTCACACTCGTTATAAAAGTTTTTTCGGTCTTGTGACGAAGATCATTTTTCGTCACACTGTCTGTAAACGGCGTTTGACGGACACGAAGTGTTCGTAAAACAACGTTTTACTGACAGTGTGATGAAAAAATCTGTGTGCCAAACACCAACCTCATTTTCTTCTTTTTTCATATCTATCGCGTTCGCTCCTTCTCCTTTCATATCTACCCCTGCTTTTGTTTGTGCTTCTGCTTCTCTTTCTCTTTCCTTTCTTCGCGCTTTCGCTTCTGCTGTTCCTCTCTTCCCTTTTACGTCTACTACTTGTATCTATTCTCTTCTCATCTTGCCCGCTCCTGCTCCGGCTTTTGTTTCGGTTTTTCTTTTTCTTATTTTTGTTTTTTTTTCTCTTCTTTTCATTCTTCTCTTTGTCGATGTCGCTGTCGCGGCCAGCGCTGCTATCACTATAGCTGTTGCTGGAACTGTCGCTGTCGGTATCTTTGTTCCGACGTCGCTTTTCTCTCTTCTCTCTTTTCTTCTCTTTCTTCTTCTCCCTCTTCTCCGTATCCTTCTTCTCTTTCTTCTTCCCTTTCTCCTTCGTTCGCTCCTCGCTGTCTTCGTTGTCACTGCTACTGCTGTTTCCGTGCTTCTTCTTGTTCTTTTTTTCCTCCTCTTTCTCTTTTTCCTTCTTCATCTTCTTCTCCTTCTCCTTCTCCTTTTCTCTCTTCTTTTCCTTCTTCTCTGCGTCAATGTCGCTGTCGCTGTCATCGTCGTCATCACTGCTACTGCTGTTTCCGTTCCTTTTCTTGTTCTGGTTTTCCTCCTTTTTTTTCTCCTTCTCTTTCTTTCTCCTCTTTTCCTTCTTCTCCGTGTCAATGCTCTGTCGCTATCAGTGTAGTTATCACTATCGCTGTTACTAGAGTTGCCGCTGTAGGTGTCTCTGTTCCGACGCTGCTTTTCTCTCTTCTCTCTTTCCTTTTCTTCTGTTTTCTCTTCCTTCTTTCCCCTCTTCTCCGTATGCTTCTTCTTTTTCTTCTTCCTTTTTTCCTGCGTTTGCTCCTCACTGTCTTGGTCGTCACTGCTACTGCAGTTTTCGTCCTTTTTCTTGTTTTCCTCTTTCTCCCTCTTCTCCTTCTCCTCCTCTCTCTTCTCAGTTTTCTTATTCTCTCTCTTCTTGCCTTTCTTGTTGTCTTCGTCCTCGTCACTCCTACTGCTGCTTCCATTCTTGTCCTTTTCCTTTTCCTTCTCCTTCTCTCTCTCCTTCTCCTTCTCATTTTCCTCTTCTTTTTCTTTTTCCTTTTCCTTCTCTCTCTCCTTCTCCTTCTTTTCCTTTTCTTGTTCCTTTTTCTCTTCCTTTTCCTTTTCGTTGCCGTTGTCTTTGTCGTTATCGAAGATGGAGTGCGAGTCCGAGTGGCAGCCGACATCTGAGTTTGAATCGGAATCGAAGTCTTTATTCATTGATTGAACAACCTCCATATCCTCTGGTCGTTCATGAATTAAAACTTCATGGACTTGATCATCATCGATGGTCAAGTCCACTTCAGGTTGTTCCAGCACTTCAGGTGGTTTCGCAATCGGTTCCTCCACTTCAGATCCAGTCCCCCCTGGCGCTTGGTTTGACGAGCCACCACGTTGTCGACTTTTCCTTTTCTCCCGGACACACAATTGAGCCACAATACGACTGTATACTCCATCATTCATACGGAGTGCTGGAGTTATGTAGCTGTTGACTGTATCTAAAGATGGAAGCATCAAATTCACTCAAGACTGTGTTGAAGGAACGTTAAGATAGAGCCTTCCTCACAATAATACATTACGTTACAAGTGTAAAAAAAGGGGAATGTTAATACGAGTGGGGTAATGTTTTTGGGGAGAGTCGTAGGACACGCGCAGCCTCGCGCTAGACTCGATAAAACAAGCCTAAGGGACACTTGCCGACCCTTCGGCAAGTGTCCTACGACTCTCCCTAAACATATTAACACACGAGTTTAACGTTCTCCTTTTTTCACACGTGTAGCGTATACAATTTTTTGAAATTAGTGTTTGGAAAAGTCAATTTGTTTTTTCTTTCAATTTCATGGGAAAAATCAAACAAAATTAATAATCAATCCCGTAAAATAATCGTATCATTCATTTATGTATTCCGTATGGTTGATACACGTGGGGAGTTTTTCGGTCAATTCACGAACTAATGAGCCACAGTGCCAAGTAATTTCCAGTGGATAAGACAAAGATAGCATGCATTTGGCTGATATTTACAGGAATAACGACACTGGATTGGTCGAAAACGTAACGACTGCGCCATCTTCCAAATGGTGGCGTAGAAGCGAAACCAAAGTTGTAACTATAAAGTCAGCTGTTGTAAACGAAATGTAAATCCCGTGAACGAAAAGTATTTTTTCATCACACTGTTTGTAAAACGTCGTTTACAGACAGTGTGAAGAAAAATTACGTTCGTCACTCGACCGAAAACAACTTTTCTGACTCGTGTGATTGCATTCCTCGGCTTCCCCTCAGTCTGCAACCCTCACACTCGTCAGAATAGTATATTTCGTAACGAGTGCAAAAAAGTGTTTTTTGGCAAGTGGGAGGTTTATATCACGAGCCGAAGGCGAGTGATATAATCCCACGAGCTAAAAAACATTTTTTCACGAGTTACGAACAATATTTTTCATCACAATGTGGCGGAAATTGGACTTTTAGGCACGCGGAGCGTGCCGAAAAGTTCACTTTTTGTCACAGCGTGATGAAAAAGTTTTTTCGGTCCTGTGACGAAAATAACTATTCGTTTACAGTCTGAAAAAGTGACGGAAAGTGCCACTTTATAAACAAAGAGACTTTTCCAAGAACGTGTTTCAATTTTTTTTTTTTATAGAATGAACGATCAGGAATTAGAATCATAAAATCGATTGTTATCATTATTTCTCGCACTTTTTAACACGTCCCATCATATATCGAAAGTCGCTCAATAGGTTCCTAACTCTAACAAAGACTTTTGAATTTCACCGCGATCTCTCCTTAAATGATGAGCGTTGGGATTTTCAATGCGTCAGCCAATGACATCATGTTAGACCCCCGCTGCCAATTATGGCGGTAGTCTCACGTATGAAAATCGCAAAGCAGAGACCATGATGAGGTCATAGCGATTTGGCATCATGGCCATCTTTCATGGCCACTAATCTTGCGGGTTCTCTTGCAGGACCAAAATGGTTACAAGGATCATAGGAGAGGTAAACGAAATAATCGTGAGGCTATTCTATCAATCGAGTTATAATGAGGGTCTAATGAAAGACACTGATAGAGTAATCGCAAGGATCCAATGGAAGAGACAAATCGAGTAGTCATAAAGGACAAATAATAGATACACACCTAGTTATCGTAAGGGCCAAATGGCAGATATACACGTCGTTATCACAACGGTCTCGTGGAAAACGTCACTCGAGTAATCGCAAGGGCTAAATAAGAGAGATCAATCAAGCAAGGGTCGAATGGGATGTATACACGTAGTTATCGCAAGAGTATAATGTGAGAGTCCAATCGAGTAATCGCAAGGGCCAAGTGGGAGAAATCAATTGAGTAATCGCATCCTTCTATATCTATCATTTGGCCCTTGTGGTTACTCGATTGATCTCTTCCATTTGACACTTGCGATGACTACTTATATATCTCCTATTCAGCCCTCGCTATTACTCGATTAATTTCTCTCATTTGGCCCTTGCGATTACTGGATTGATCTGTCTCGCTTTGCCCTCGCCATCACTCGATTGATCTCTTTCATTTTCCCCTCGCGATTACTCGCTTGGCGCTTGTGACAACTCGATTGGTCTCTCTCATTAGATCCTTGCGATGACCCTATTCCACTGCCCGGTTTGACCCGTGTGAAGTCTTCACTCAACCCCACTTGACCCTTTATACATTTTTTCCCTGCCAGAGAACCACAGAACTCCCAAGATGGCCATGAAAAATGGTCATGGAAGATGGCTGTGGAAGCTGGCGATGATTCCAAATCGCCATGGCCTCTTCATGGCCACTCCATGGCCACGCGTGGCTATGGCCAGGTCATAGCGATTTGCATAAGTACTAGAGTAACGCAATGGGCTGGAATATTTAGAAATTCTCACTTTCAGCGTTAGAAGATCTACTACATAGATTTATTCATTTCTGTTCTATTGAATTCTTGATTTTTCATTCCATAAACAAAACAAATCGACCGGATCGATAGCGTGGATCAAATCTCACTCAGAGAAACGCACTCTGGGACACCGACTAGATTCAGGCCGGGCCCGACTTGATTCTAAACGATCCTCCAACTTGATTGAAGATGATTTTTCAACCTGGTTCGAAACGAATTCTGCAACTTCCTTTAATTTAATTCTTTAACTTGAACCCCGATCATTCTTCAACTCAAACTTTTGACTTGATTAGAGTCGTTTCTTTGGGTCCGTTTATTTGGTTCGGATCAATTCAATTATTAAACTTGCATCAATACAATGTTCATTTGAATCAATCCCGTCGTTAGACTTCATTCAGGTCGATTTCGATCTTAATTAAGTCAAAGACTCAATTCGCTTGAGGTCAATTTCGACTTGATTCAAGTCGATTTTTCAACTCATCTCAAATCCATCCTTTTACTTGATTCAACTCTTTGAATTGATTCAAGACGAAACTTCGAATCCGTTCATTCCCCTTGAATTAAACGGGCTGATCGAAGCCGAACAAATGGATCGATTCAAGCGGAGCAAACGGATTGATTGAAGTCAACATTGTGTTGATCCAAGCCTAACGGACGAATTGATTCACGCCAACGGAATGGACTCGGAGAATCGTTTTGAATTCAGTCGAAGTATCGTCTTGGATCAAGTCGAAAAATTTACAATTGTGATATCTAATTTTCCATCATGTCTGCCTGAATAGTATATTACGATAGAAGTGAAAAAAGTGGTTGTTGACGAATGTGAAGGTTACAGGCTGAGCCGAAGGCGACAATCCACGAGCCGATTACAATGTCGATAGAAATACACACTTTCAACTCACGGAATACAGCGGCATAGATCTCTTCTGGGATTTTGTCTTTTCCACCATTACCATGACCTGTTTTCCCTTTCAAATTCTCACCCATTGTCAATCGCATCAGATCGCTAACCCATCTTCCCCTATCATACATATATTTGTCTATCATTTCTGATAGTTCCTTTGTATCAACAAAAATGCCAGTGTCAGAGAAAATCTCCATCTGTAAGAAATATATACCAAAGGAGAATGTAGGAAAAGAACAAAACTTGTTTGATTCTGACATACATCATCTCCACGGACACGTGCTGGAGGGAGTACATCATAGTTTAGTTGGCTCAATTTTTGTTTTTTTGTGTTCTTTCGATTGACAGCTGAAACAATATATCCGTGCTTAATCGAGGTGTAATTACTCCGAATAGAAACGTATAAGTTCCTTAACCCTCTAATGCTCAAGAGCCCTGAAACGCCACTTGAGGCGTGGAGAAGAACCGCATTCTCAAACAAAAAACGCCGAAATGTTGAAAATTCTTGAAACTTCAGATGCATTAGGCGATTGACATTCTAATGCATCTAAAATTTTCTTCATTTTGCCGCTTCTCCGTCAAAGCACACGGTTCCTTCTGCCGAACCTCGGGGCTGAAGAGCATTAGAGGGTTAACCACACCCATGACACAAATTTGAAAACATAGATATGTTTATTCCTACTGTGTTTTTTGCTGCTCTCACGCGCTCGTTTTAGGACGCTTTGAATTCTTTCTTTCCTTGATATTTTCTGTTCTCTTTCTTCTTCTTTTTCTTCCTCCCTCGCCTTCTGTTTCTCTTTCTCACTGTTTGATGATTCCCCCTTTCTCATATCTTCCCCTTTGTCTTTCTCTGTCTCCTTCGTCTTCTGTTTGTTCTTCTGCTGAACTATGGACTCTTCTTGATCCGAAATATCAATTGAGTTAATCGAATCACATGTTGAGTATAATTCCTTGTTTCTTTTTCCGGCCTTTTCATTTCTGCTTCCTCCTACAGGATACGATACTGTTGATTTGGTATTACAATGATCAATAAAATGGATTCACTTTGACCGTGCTACCACAATAATTCTTCTGATTTTTTCGACGTAGATAGGTCTATGTTTTAGTTTTGAGGGTCATTTTGTGAAAAGGTTCTTATTCACTAACGCCATCTGTCGGCATGTAGAAGAACTAATCGAAATTCTAGAACATTCTCGATTTTTCTAGACAGTTCTAGGTTTTTCTAGAAAATTCAAGGGAACTTAGGGAGTTTCTAGAAATTTCGATAGAATTCAAAGAGTTTTTAGGAATTTCTAGGGAATTCGAGGGAATTCAACGATTTTCTATGAACTTCGAGGAAATCAAGAAGTTTCTAGAAATTGCGAGGAAATTCGAAGGGTTTCTAGAAAATTTTAAAAAATTTAAGGAGTTTTTACAAAATTGAAGGCAATTCAAGAAGTTTCTAGAAATTTTGAGAAAATCAGGTAGTTTCTTGAAATTTCAAGGGAATTCAAGGATATTCTATAAACTTCGAGGAAGTTCAACGAGTTTCGAGGAATTTCGAGAAGATTTGAGGAGTTTCTAGAAAATTCGAGGGAATTTAACGAGTTTCAAGAAATTTCGTGGGAACTCAAGGAGTTTCTAGAAATTTTAAGGGAATTCAAGGACTTTCTATAAACTTCGAAGATGTTCAACAAGTTTCAAGAAATTTCTCGAAAATTTAAAGAGTTTCTAGAAATTTCGAAGAAATCAAGAAGTTTTTATACGTATTTTTTCTCCGTGTATGTCAGTTTTCCTCTCAGTGTTCCTACCTTTCTGACTTCCAGAGCTTGACTTTGATTTACTGATCCATCGTACAAATTATAGGTTCTTCACCATCGTCGGCGCTACTTTCATCCTCATTTTCTTCTTCATCATCTTCGGCTTCTTTACCAATAGGATCAACCTCAATATCTCTTTTATTTTTGCCTTTTCTGTCATTCTTTTGGCGCACAAGCCCTGCTATTTTGTCATCAAGCTTGGTGGCAGTTTTTCGCCTAGGTCTCCCTTTCCTGGGTATGAGCTTCCCATCCGTATCATATTCCAGAGTCAATAAATAATCTGCCTGATCTGCAAAATAGAGTGATTTTCCGGAGGACTTAGGAGAAGAAACCGTATTCTTTGCCACGGCGTAGGAACACACTCAGATTACCCTCCCGCGAAGCGAGAGAAAAATGCGTACTTTGCCCCCGCGGGGGGAAATAGTATATGGCTGACGAAAAATTAATTATTAATTTTGAAAAACCGCATTTTTAATTTGAATGAAATTCATATCATATAATCTGCTATTTCTTAAGGTCATTTTGGCGCCTGTTGCATCACATAATCTCGAAAGGGGATTTTTTTATGAATGGGGATTTTTTATGAATTTCATGAAACTTCAAATTATTCCCACTTCAAATTTCCTCCACTTCAATTTTTTCCATTTCAAATCATTTCCACTTTTATTCCCAAAAGAAAATTTGAAATGGGGAAAAATTTGAAGTGGATTAAATTTGAAATGGGGAAAAATTTGAAGTGGGAATGATGTGAAGTGGGGAAAAAATTTGAAGTGGGGAAAATTTCAGAAATCGCCACATGAAACTTGCTAGGGATTGAAAGGTCTGAAGAGTCAGAAATATTTCGGAAATCGCCACATGAAACTTGCTAGTGTCTGGAAGGTCACAAGGGTCAGGAAAATTTCGGCAAATGCCGTTAGTCACATGTGGGTTCGGGAAGGGGTCACTTTTTTATGGATTTTCATTCTTTGAGTCTTCCTCTATAACATACGCAAAAAGTAAAAAATTTTATAGTTCCATTTTTCTTTATAACGTTTTAAAGTATTTCGATTTAACTCCATGCGTACGTATTCATGGCTCGTTCCTTCTGACTTGATTCTGACCCTTGACAGTTTTCGACCCTTGACAATTTTTGACCCTTAACAATTTCTTATCTTCAATAATTTTTACTCCTAACAAATTTTTACTAGTGGGATGTGACTTGTGACATCTTTGTTACTTGTGACATGGGACATGTCCTGTGACTTGTCATCTTTGTTACTGGGATGACCTCTTGGTATACCTCACGGTAATTAAACTGGACAACGAAACACGCAAGTACTGGGAGCTAAATATGAACAACGTCAACGAGTTTTCCACCTTTGAAACCGTTAAGGAGTTCCTCGGTGAACGCGCCAAATGACTGGATCGCCTACCAGCCAATCCCACTGCAACGCGCCAATACCAAAAATCAACAAATCGTAAGATTATGCACACAACAACCGATTCACGCTCGGTGAATCATTGTTATATTCGTGTGTTTTGATATACATAAAAT